GACAGGGCAAGATATGACAAAATAACAGTTTATAAATTATCAAGGGCTCATGGGGAGGGGAGCGGGGAGGGAGGGGGAAAATGAGGACCTAATGACGGGGGCTTAAGTGGAGAGGAAATGTTTTGAGATTGATAAGGGCAATGAATGTACAAATGCACTCGCTTTACACAATTGATGTATGTATGGATTGTGATACGAGTTGTATGAGCCCCTAATAAAATGATTAAAAAACAAACAATCAAACTGTAACTCAAAACTCTGGTTTATTAATAGCAGACAAAATAGACCAAGATAAAAATTGTTACTTGACCCAAAGAAGGATATTGTGGACTGATTGAAAAGTCAATATGTCAAGAAACTAAAACAGGTATAAACATTTTTTTCATTAAACAATACATGAAGAAGTAACAAATGAAGGGAGAAATATAAAATAATAATAGAAACTTCAATATATATACTTTCAATAATATATACAGCTAGACAGGAGATCAACAAGGAAATGAAAGATTGGACCATACTACAAGCCAACTATACAGACATCTATATAACACTTTCCCCAAAAAGAGCAAATACATATTCTCACGTGTACATGGAATATTCTTCAGGATAGGCCTGAAGAATTCATCATAAGCCATGAGACATATCTTAATAAATTTATAAACATTGTCATCAGTTTGTTGTTCTACCCCAATGGAATGAAATAAGGCAGTAACAAATTTGAGAAATTCACAAAATGTGGAAATTAAACATTGCACTCCCAAATAAATGGACCAACGGAGTAGGAAGTCACAAAATACACTGAGATGAATGAAAATGAAAACACACCGCACCACAGTTTATGGACTGGGGCTGAAACAGTATTAACAGAGAAACTAAACACAAATACTGAAAGGTAAGAAAGCACTCACATTAAGAATTGACCTTGATACCGAAGAAACTAGAGAGAGCAGAGCAAAGAATATTCAAAACAGAAGGAAAGAGAGTGAAAATTTAAATAGAAATAAATGAAATAGTATTAATATAATCTCAGAGAAACTGAGAATAGAAAACAAGAGACAGAAAAATCATGGAGACCAAGTGTTTTTGTGAATAAATCAACAAAATTGACAAACCTTTAGCTATACTAACCAAGAGAAGCGAGGATGGTGAGACTTTGTCTTGCTTACTTCAGACAGGCTATTAGGAGGGGCCAATCCCTGGAGAAGTGCATCATGCTTGGTAAATTAGAAGGTGTGTGAAAATATGGAAGACCCCAGTGAGACAGCAACAGTGGGCTTAAGCATACTTCTACTGTGATGAAGGCACAGGACATTTTGTTTTGTTGAACCTAAAAGCCAGAAGTGTGTTTTATGTGTGTGCTTGAATGAGCTTCGGTAATTTTTATTCTAAAATAAATAGTCCTATCCTATCTAAGTTACTTATTTTTTGGCATACAGTTGTTCTTTGGGTTCCTTTCTGATTCCCTGGATTTCTGTAAGGGCAGCATTAGCCCAGGGATCGAGCTCAGAAGGCAGGACGGGATGAAAAAAGAATGGAAACAGAAGGCACAGGGAGGAAGTGAAGAGATGCTGGTGGATTGTGGCAGAGATGGTGTTTGCAGTCAGTGTCACAAAAAATATGCATAGATGGTTAAATGGAAAACCGATAACCAATTTACTCTCTAAACCTTCACAAAAGGTTTAAAAAAAATCTTTAATAAATGAATACTAGCAAGTTAAATCTCTCAAAACTCACTGCCATCTAGTTGATTCCAACTCACAGTAGCCCTTTAGGATAGGGTAGAACAGCCCTTGTGAGTTTCTGAGACACTAAGTCTTTATAGGAGTAAAAAGCCTTATTTTACCCAACCAGAGTGGCTGGTGATTTTGAACTGCTGACCTTGTGATGAGCAGCCTAACTCATAGCCTCCATACCAGGGGTCCTCAAACTACGGCCTGCGGGCCACATGCGGCCCGCCGAGGACATTTATCCGGCCCACCGGGTGTTTTTGCCCCGTTTTGTTTTTTACTTCAAAATAAGATATGTGCAGTGTGCATAGGAATTTGTTCATAGATTTTTTTTTAACTATAGTCCGGCCCTCCAATGGGTCTGAGGGACAATGACCTGCCCCCCTGTTTAAAAAGTTTGAGGACCCCTGCTCAGAGCTCCAAGTTAAATCTAGTAACTATGAAAAGAACTATACAGCATGACTGAGTTAAGTGTAAGAAAAGTATTGTTATATACTGTATTTCTATACTAAATGATAGAAACTACAAGACCACAAGAGGTGCAGAGAGAACATTTGCCATTGGCTAGTACCTGTTCATGATTTTAAGGAGCCCTGACGGTGTAGTTGGTTATGCTTTGAGTTCCTGCAAGGTCAGCTGTTCCAAAGGAGAAAGATGAACCTAGTTGCTCCAGTAAAGATTTAGTCTTGGAAACCCAAAGGGGCAGTTGTATTCTGTTATATAGGGTCAATACGAGTTGGAGCTAATTCGATGGCAATGAGTTTGGAGTTTTTGTTTTTGATTTAAAAACAAAAAAGCAACTAAACTGGGAATACTCAACTAGGGTACTTCCGTTCTTAATACCTAATCAAAGGCATCTACAAACAACTCACAAAGAATACCATACTTGACAATTCTTCTACCCTAAGATCAGGAACAATAAGGGTGTCTCCTTGCGCCACTTTTATCCACATTCCACTGGAAATCCTAGCCAAAACAATTAGGCAACAAAACGAAAGGATCCATACTGGAAATGAAGTAAAGCTGTATTTCAAGATGTGTCATGGTCTCATATGAAGAAAATCTTGAAGAATCCACTAAATGACTATTAGACCTAATAAAATTTAGTAAGATTGCTGGATACAAAGTCTATAACCAAAATTCAGTTGTAATTCTTGCAGTAAACAATCCAACAGTGAAATTAAGAACAATTGAGGAAAAAAAATTGTAATAGGAATCAAAGTAATAAAATCTATTTCAAGAAAGAAGTATAAAACGTATACTCTGAAACAATTTTTGAAATAAGGAAGATGGACAAGGCCTTTCTTGCTAGAGTCTCCTTCTAAAAATCAATCTGAGGATTCTGTGCATCATAAAGGTTCCATCTACAATCATAGTTACAGCACAGGGCTGGGTGGTGTTCTGTTCCTTTGTCCATGGGGTTGCCATGAGACAGAGGCCTGCCTATTTGAAAGCAGCTAACAACTTCACCATCACCACCAAGCAAATGAAATATATATACAGAGTAATCTTTTCAGTAAATAGTGCTGGGATAACTGGATATCCACATGTAATAAAATGACTACATCATTCCACATACAAATATTAACTCAGAATGAATCATATCCTAAAATATAAGAGCAAAACCATAAAATTTTAGAAGAAAACATAACTATAAATGTTCTTCACTGCACTAGGTAGTAATTTTTTAGACATGTCCCCCAAATGTAACCAGCCTAAGAAAAAAATAGATCTGGACTTCACTGAAATAAAAAAATATTTGCAAGTGAAAAGATACTATCTCAAGAAATTAAAAGACAATTCACAGAAGGAAAAACTACATCCACCCAAGGACAAGCAGATGGATTATGGGCCCCACTGAACTGTAGTCCCAATCCAAGAACAGTTCTGATCATAGGCCCTGCTCACCTGCATGGAAGGGTCACTGAAGATAAGGGTGCTCCAGCAACATGTGAAGAAAGCAGTTGGTGCTGGGCTACTAATCGGAATAGCTTCGGAGGTCTTAAAGACTTGTATTAAAATAAGCAGCTATCTAAGCATGGAGTCAACTAAGTGTACATGACAGAAGCACACCAGCTGTGTGATCCAAAGATGACAATAACAAAATTCAAATATGACAAAGGGAAAAGTATCAGAGCCTAAATTGCAAACACCTAACATTTGTGAAAGACTATAGAGGACAGTGGGAATCCAGAAACCTTCTGGTCATGACTGCCTTGGTTGGGAGGCCTTAAACCAATCTTGTAAGCTCTACTCCTAGCATGGTGTACACATCCCAGTCATGGCACCATTCCCACTCCTGTGGTCCCACCTGCATCTGTGATATATTGATCTCCCAACAGTCATGCTTTTGTGAAACTTTCCTTTGTCCTCTCATGTCTGTTTTAAGTAGCTGGTTCTCTTTAAATCCTTGTCATTCTGGCCTCATGACTATGGCCACCCTTCTGGGGATGAATTGTCTTTGTCCTCTTTAAGCCTTAATAAATGTGTCTCTATAAATTATATTTGAACATGGGGTCTTATTGATCCCCTACAACATTCATTAGGGAAATGCAAGCCAAAACCGCACAACACAGTCTTTTTAAGTTGAGTTGGCCTAGCAGCTCAATAAGATCTTCAGGAAAGGACCTGCCCCCAGGTCCTTTCCATGCTTCTTCAACAGCTTTATCTTAAGGCTAGTTCTTCACATCATGGGCTTGCTGTCTATCTGCCCTTCATTTTTCCTTGTCTATCTCCAGCTTGAGAGTCATTCTCCCATAAGAATAAGGAAAGACTTTTCTAAAAGTCACAACTAAACCTCATTTCCTGGTTCTTTGCCCATTATAAAACTAATTGTTGGCCAGGGAAATGCAAGTATTCTAAAACCACTGTTGCTCAACGAGTAAGGGCTGGAATAGAGTCAACCACAACATCAACAACGCCAACAGAAGAACATCCCCACAGATATGCATTTATAAATTGCCATTTGATTAACTTTGAAGCATGTTGAGACAATTGATATTGATTCAACTGATGATAGTACCGAGGTCCCAAGAGTTAAATGATTTGCCCAAGTTTTTATTTTTCTTTTCTAATTTATTTTTTAACATTTTATTAGGGGCTCATACAACTGTTATCCCAATCCATACACACATCAATTGTGTAAAGCACATTTGTACATCGTTTCTCAAAACATTTTCTCTCCATTGAAACCCCCGACATTAGGTCCTCATTTTTCCCCTCCCTCCCCGCTACCCCCTCCCGCATGAGCCCCTGATAGTTTATAAATGGGTATTTTGTCATATCTTGCCCTGTCCGACGTCTCCCTTCATCCACTTTTCGGTTGTCTGTCCCCCAGGGAGGAGGTCACACACAGTTCCATGTAATCGGTTCCCTCCTTCCTACCCATTCTCCCTTTACCCTCCCTGTTTCGCCACTCACACCACTGGTCCTATAGGGCTCATCCGTCCCGGATTCCCTGTATTTCCAGTTCCTATCTGTACCAGTGTACCTCCTCTGGTCTAGTCAGTCCTGCGAGATAGAATTCGAGTCATGGTAGTGGGAGCGGGGAGGAAACATTTAGGAACTAGAGGAAAGTTGTATTTCTCATCATCGCTACATTGCACCCTGACTGGCTCATCTCCTCCCCGAGACCCCTCTGCAAGGGGATCTCCAGTGGCCTACTAGTGGGCTTTGGATCTCCACTCCGCACTCCCCCCATCATTCACGATGGTAAGATTTTTTGTTCTGATGATGCCTTACACCTGATCCCTTCAACACCTCGTGGTTGTATAGGCTGGTGTGCTGATTTGCCCAAGTTTATACTGTAAGAAAATACCATGTCTTCTGATTGCAAGGCCTTAATTGTTTCCATTTAATCACTGGGTCATTAAGATAACAAGAATGAAATTGAATATTTGAAATAATTTCCAGATATCAGGCACATACTATGCCAATATATAAGAATATATTTATGTATGTGTGTGTACTTATATACTTAAGTGACTTGAACACTTCTTGGAAATCTTTAATGTTCATTTTTAAAATTTTATTAGAAATGGAGAACTCTGAAGGAAGCCAAGTTTTTTATCCACCACTTCTACCTAGCAAAGTAGATCTCCGTCAAGTCACCATAATTCCACACAATGAGTGGAAAAGGATCCAAGAGAGCCTTGATAGTTTGACTAGAGAAGCAGCATGCCTTCGTGCAGAAAGAAAGGCAAAGAAAGAAATGCACTTCCGATCCCAGGACATCGTAAAGCACTGGACTAACACCTATGCAGTAAGTATTCACCACCCAGGAGTGTACCTGTTCTGATGACTTAGTCTTATCTTTTAGTACTCTTTTATAAATATTTTTATATGTAAAATACCACTAGCATCTATTAGGACATATATTATTGGCTTAATACACCCAAACAAATCAGTTAAATCAGTTGCTGTAAATTCTAACTCCTGCTGATCCCACATACAAGGGTTACCCTCCAAAAAACAGAACAAAGCTCCACTGGATAGAACTTTTGAAATATGTATTTTTCCCACTAGGCGAGCATAGAGAAACACGCTCTGAGTTAGTGCACCCGTTGGTATCACCTGGGAAGGTTCTCTCTGGTCACGGTGAATTTTTTTGTAAAAGCTGTTTCGCTCGCTCAAACCTCCTTTGTTGTGATGACCTATTTAAGAGTGCAGGTGTGAAATTTTGTTTCCTGCTCAGAAAAAATGCCACAGAAACTGTTGTGATGTTAAACACAGTTTACAAGGACAGAGCTATGGGAAAAACTCAAGTGAATAAGTGTTTTTCTTATTTCAAAAAAGGTGAAATGCAGATTGATGACAAAACTCGTCCTGGATGTCATCAACTTCCCAAACAAATAAAATGTTGACAAAATTCATGCACTTGTGCCCGAAGACCAATTGAAGAGATAGGGAAGTTATCTGGTCTATCTTAGATCTCAGTTCAGTGAATTTTTAAAAAAAATCATTTTATTGGGGGCTCGTGCAACTCTTATCACAATTCATACATACATCCATTGTGTCAAGCACATTTGTACATTTGTTGCCATCATCATTCTTAAAACATTTTCTTTCTACTTGATCTCTTGGTATCAGCTCCTCATTATTTCCCCTCCCTCCCCGCCACCCCCATGAACCCTTGATAATTTATAAATTATTATTATTTTGTCATGTTGTACACTGTCCGACGTCTCCCTTATCCCAATTCAGTGAATTTTAAGATTTTGGAATGAGAAAGCTTGCTCCAAAATTTGCGCCTCAAGTTCTGACTGACCAGGAAAAAGATCGTGGAGTGGGAACATGCCGTGCTTTGAAAGAACAGCTCCTAAGTGGCCCAGACTTTTTCCCAAGGTCATTACTAGTGGCAGGACATGGTGCTATTCTTACGACCCCAAAAGCAAACATCAAACTAGTGGAAAATACCATCGTCACCTCACCCCCCAAAGTTCATCAATTGAAATCAAAGATCAAGATGATGCTCATTTGTTTTTTTGATGCAAGGGAGGATAGTGCATTTGGAGTTTGTTCCACCAGGTCAGACTGTTAAGCAAACTTTCTCTTTAGAGGATCTGAAAAGAGTAACAGTGTGTGACCCAAAAAGGCCTGATTTGTGGCAAATGGGGCACTGGTTTTGCCACCAGGACAATGTACCTGCTCATGCAACCATCTCAGTATGCCAGTTTTTGGCAAAACCCAGCATGCCTCTCTTTCCCCAGACATCTTACTCACCTGACCTTGCTTTTTGTTTCCCTGAATGAAGGGGCACATGAAAGGAAAGAGATTTGATAATGCAGAAGAGGTGAAGAAAAAAATGAGGAAGGTGCTGTCTGCCATCCAAACAGATGAGTTATACAAATGTTTCCAAGAATGGAATTGCAGATTTGACAAATGTATTTAGTATAATGGAGAGTACTTTGAAGGCGATAAGGTTGTTTTGTAAAAAAATGTAAATACATAGCTTTTGGGGGGAAAATTTGATGTGTTTTTTTTTTGGGGGGGACCCCTAGTATGCTAAAATAGAACTGTTCTCCAAAGGGTTTTGAAGGCTGATTCTTCACAAGTAGATCACAAGGCCATTCTTCTGAGACACCTCAAGGTGGACTTGAAATACCAACCTTTCGGGTAGCAGCCAGTCATATCTTTTTATACCACTCAGGGACTCCTGACCTATATTAACGTGTACTTATTTAAAGGACTGCCAAAAAATGAACAAATCTGAAGAAATACAGCCACAGTGCTCCTTAGAAGTGTTGATGGTGAGACTTCATCTCAGGTACTTTGGACATGCTTTCAGGAGGGACCAGTCCTCAGAGAAGGACGTGGTGCTTGGTAAAGTAGAGGGACAGTGAAAAGAGGAGGACCCTCGAAGAGATGATTGCACAGTGGCTGCAAGCAGGAATGTGAGGGTGGCACAGGACTGAGCAGTGTTGTGTTCTGTTGTAGGGTTGCGATGAGTCAGGACTGACTTGACATCACCTAGCAAAAATAATGACACATACTTCCGTGGGTTTTTTTTTTTAATCATGGCTTACACTTTTATTATATGAATAATGACCCAAAGTAACATTGTGGCCACTTGAAGGAGGATAAGTGAGTTAGAAAATCTCTTCTGGAAATGGGTGCATAAGCAAATGAGGAGAAGAAAGCTGATGGTGCCCGGCTATCAAAAGATATAGTGTCTGGGGTCTTAAAGGATGGAAGTAAACAAGCGGCCATGAAGCTCAGAAGCAACAAAGCCCACAGGGAAGAAGCACACCAGCCCGTGCGGTCACGAGGTGTCGAAGGGATCAGGTATCAGGCATCATCAGAACAAAAAAATCTTACCATAGTGAATGAGGAGGGGAGTG